TAAAAATAAAAAAAAGTTCCGCATTTTTTATACTATTCTAAATTTTATCGATTTTATCATATATTTTTATTTATTTTTCCGTGAGGAGAATCATTCCTTCTTCAATCGAATCATCAGTTGAAGAATATTATATATTTAGGACGATGATGAGACGATATGATCAAAGCGACATGAAGATAAATATGCATTATGCATCATTGATTTTTGTCGTTGCTATTATTATGCGCCATTGAATCCTCATCTATTGTACGCAATGTGTCGTGTCTTACTACACCCAGTTTCACGTAGAATTTAATTGCTGACTAGGCGCAGCATGCGCTTGACCAATATTTGCTTGACTGTCGCACGTAATCAGTACCTGGCCTTCGGAAATATTTCCCTGACTAAAAATAGTGCTATTACGTTAAATATTATTTTAATACAATGCCTCTTTCACGATTACGAAAAAATTCCTCAGTTACATTAAGTTTTTTATTTTTAATATTGCTACTTTCAATAAATTAATGTTATAAGATGCAATATAAAGCAAAGTTTTGTAACAATAAAGGGAAGGGGGAGGGGAGGATTAGTTCGGACGAAAATCGTTATTTTACTTTTTCGAATAAAAGACGTAGGTAAATCAATTTTGAATCAATAATTTAACAAAAGTATATTATTTTCTTACATAATGGTTATACTTACTTTGCTACATATGTTGAGTATTCGGACGGGGCGCCGATAGTGGTAGGTACGTCTGTATATGTCAGATCGATTCGCAGAATTCTGTTCAACTTGTAGAACATCGGGGGATGAGGGTAGCTGGTCGTGGTAAACGAGAAAATGAATTTTTGGAGATACGATATTCACACTTACTTAAGTATAGTCTTACGAAACAGTCATCAATAAAATTCTTTCAGCGATTGTTAATAACTTTGTAAATTTTGACGATTGCTCTATCCACTGGATTTTTGGCCGCAAATAAATGTCTTCGCCGACAAGAAGAAACAGAATTGTTATTGCTATTACGTGGAATTCCTGTGCTCCGATTTCCTTCGTCATCCATTGACGTGGCAACGATCGATCGACCTTGTAGCAATCCATCTCATCGTGTCGTTAGTGGCAAGACAGTTACGCAACAATTTATGTATTGACAATTTATACATTGAGTAATAACATTTTAAAAATATCATTTTTGTAAACTAATCGCGTGTTATGATAATTTCAAACATGTAATGAGATTAATTCGGACGTAATGATAACTAGCCAATTTTTGCATGGATATGTTTATATATCACATAAGAATAAGTTTAATGCTTTTTGTTTAATGTTTATTCCTTTTAACGCGTTTCTTTCACAGCTTAGCTTGCATTTCATATCCCATTTTTTCCTTTTCCTTTTATTTTTTTTTTCTGTAATATTACTTTGTGTATAAAAACACAAATCAAGCAATTATATTTATTGATTTGTACATTTCTTCTTTTTGCATCACACATTGCATTATATCTAAGTAAAGTCGTCGCAGCTTGTATAACGCGTTTTTGTTTAACGAAAACTGACAAATGAAGCCTTTTGCAAAATGTCCCATAGTTGTGAGAGAACAAAAAGTTCTCCGCTGCTCCGCCTCCATTTTCTCGCCCAATCTCCCGTGGCTTGCCTTGGTTGTACGCGGCCGACATCTGTTCCTATTACCTTCTGTCGTTAATTGTTATTACACTTACGGCACGGTGCACGTTACTCCTAGTGACGGCCATTAAACTTCCCCATTACATTATTGCCGGTCGATGACGACAATGGTTCGTGGCTTTTTCTCGGTCGACGAGCACTTTTAACTGTGCGAACACTTACCTAGAAGCGACGATTTCCCGGTGCTAAAAGCATGATTTACATGCGCAACCTGATTAAAATGTAGCCGTGATCAAGCGGTTACGTAACCTCCATGACTCTCCCTGAAGTCGCTGCTAAACCGCTAAGGGCATTGCGTACAAATTTGGGGTATTACTGGGCATTACTTGAGAGAATTGTGTATTGTAATAAGCGGTATGAAATTATGCAATTAGAGCATTAATGAGCATTACTAAGGCATTAGTGGGCATAAAAATTGGGCATTATTTGGGCATTACTTGGGCATTATCCGGCATTAACATATAGGCATTGGTGTTCACAATTTTGGCCAGCGGTTTACCTTTCGCCGTTAACGCTTTCACAGAAATAAATGACTGACTGTGGGCAGATGCTTTCGCGTATACACAAATGTCCGCGTTAACTAAACGCGTGCGTTTATTTTTGGTAGCATCTTTGGCGGAGTGCGTCTTTCTCTCTAGATTATTATTTCTCGCATTTTTATATCCATCGATCATCTAGCGATGTAATATAGTGTATAAACATAGATAGATTTTATAATTCATATTATAGTAAACTATACACATTACACACTTAAAGAAAAGTATCTTGATATTTGTGACTGTAACTGAATGGTAAAATAATTATAGAGCTTCATTTTTATAATTATTACTCTTATAATGTTAGTAATAATAACATTGGTCAACACTATTTTTGCTTTAAAGTAAATGAAATTGTTTCTGGGTTTAATGTTACGAATATGGAAAATGTCGTATCAAGTTTTTGAGATATTCTAAAGATAATCTAAAGAAAAGCTTGGATTTGAGAAAAAAAGATTCATTCAAAGATTATGTATTAAAAATTTGTTTATTATATGATTCTATGAAGCCTTTAATAATCTAGAAAACAATCTGATTAATTTTATTTTTTTAATTTACTTAATTAATTTCATTCTGTAACAGATTTTTTCATTCATTTTCTCTTTGCATTACAGAACGATCTATTTGTGGATCAGACATGGAACCTATCACAACGATTGCGCGGCACAGTTAAGGTAAAAGATTTTTATGTTTTAGAGTATCGTACGCTTTGAATAATATAACTAATTAATAATAAGTGGAAAAATGACAACACAAAAATGCGAAAAACCTGTAATTATTGGAAGAATTTCGTTAAAAATATTGTAATATTGTATGTTATATTACAACCTCTTAAAATTAATTCTAAATTTCTTTTAATTTATTTCCTATTACTAAAAATTTTATTGACTTTGATTTCTTTAACCCCCTTATCAATGTTAATTGATTTGATTCATATTTTGCTTCGGTGGAGCTAAAATCCTTAAATATCTATTGCATAAAACGAAATTTGAAAGAGTTAAATCATTTTTGTGAAATTTTGCAAATGGAACGAATGGATGGACCAACAATGTGAAATCATTAAGTAGTTTGCTACACTTAATAATCGCAGAAGTGCAGACTTTATTTGGTCAAAGTTGATTTAAATATAATATTTTTGTGTGTATTTTTCAATTTGCATTTTATGCAAGCTGTGCGCTGATTATTTTTTTAAATATAATTTATTGTCTACATTAGAGATTCATTTTTTTTTATTTTGATTATTTTCCTAACATGTATATTTTTATATTCAAAACGCTTTTTAGGTTTTCATCAGTATTTTTATGTTCACTTGACTTCAAATGATATCGATCAAACTAAATAATTTCAATGGATAATGTCTTCAAATTTGATGGACATAACTAAGTACTTTGCTTAGCTGCCCCCCCCCTCCTGCCTTAACCAAATCTTAATGAATAAATTGTATAATAATGTGCTATTTATGCGCTCTCAAAATCCGCAAAAACTGTTTGCGCTTATTTTGTTTAGTTAAAAAAAAAATTTTTTTGTGGGGAAGCTGAGTAGGCTGTCAGTCAGCCTTTCCCCCCCCTCCATGTGTCAATAATAACATCCATTTGAAAAATCAAATACAAAGGATTAATGCGCTTTTATATTCACATAGTTTCAATTTTTGCGCTGAATCCCTTATAAGGCACTTTCCTTTTGGAGCAAACAGTCATATTTATCCCTAAGTCGTTTAAAATTGCAAAATTACGCTATCTAACTATGCAAAATATATCTTCGATTTATGCGCTACTATTTCCAAGCAATTTTGATTTTTGCGCTGCAATTGTAGTGATCGTCTCATCTTTGTTTAACATGACAAACAACAAGGATGTAATGATCCATTGTGTCAAATCGTGTCATCTGTGTCGCTTGTTGGAAGGCATACTATGTGAATATGAAAGCGCACAAATAGCGCATTAATCCTGCATATTTGATTTTCCAAATCGCTATTAACATGTGGAGGGATTGACGGTCTACTCAGTCCTTCACAAAAAAATTTTTTTTAACTAAACGAAATGAGCGCAAAAAATTTTTTGCGAATTTTGAGAGCGCATAAATAGAATATTATTATATAATTTATTCATTAAGATTTGGTTAATTGGGGGGGGGGATGGGCAGCTAGGCAGACGTTAATATTGATGTGATTTGCGTCTTAAAGGAAAGCATCTTAAAGCATTGTAAAAAATTCATTTGAAAAAAGTATTGTTTCAGCCAGAATTCGAATCCTCTCTATATTCTATGACGTACGTCCTTATCAGTTCGATCACTGAGGCATGTAGTCATATTTATCACAATAACTATGTTGGAAAAATGTGTTTTTCAGGTGACGTAAATAAACAAAAATAATAGTGCAGTGCAAGTGAAAAATCGATATAATAACAAAAATAAGCAAAGAAGTGACGGACTTAATTCTATTTTAGCGTCGATCTTTACATTTAATACTATTTTTGCGTAAATTTTTACAATTTTCACAATAACTAATTAATTTGTATTTGCATTTATTTTGATCATACGATTTCTCCAACTCTTGCTTGATTTTTTTACGTGACAATATTATTATAGATAAAATTGTTACTCCAAGTACGTTTAAATGTCAACAAGAGGTTGAACTAGGTAAGTGTAACCTACACACGTTATGATTTGCGTGAATGCGTTAATTGCGGGTCATTGGGTCAAACTAATGACCGGTTCACACGTTTCCACCTGTGCACCATATTGCGCTTCGAGAAACGATTTCTCAATGCGCTCTAGTTACAGAGCCAGTGAGTAACCATATTGCGAGCGTCGGTTATTATTAGTTCTGAACTTGGCGAAGTTAAGAAAAGAAAGTTAATATAATAAAAAATAAAAATAGTGGAAAATGTAATTGAGCTCATAAATATAAAAAATTATAATAACCGTTTATGGGCAGAATCATTTGCGTTTTGAGATGAATTGAAGATCCATATATATAATATAATAATGTTAAAAATCTCTTTCGTTTTTATTAACATGATTAAGTTACATGGATTCAAGGAATAAAACGCTGACCAAAATTGTGCACAGATTTGGGACATTACTAGGTATTATTTAAGAGAATTATTTATTATAATAAAGCATATATATTATAAAGTTATGCATTACTAGAGCATTAATTATTAGAATATTAATGGACATAAAAATTGGGTATCATTTCATGAGCATTACTTGGGTAGTAGACATTGGTGTATATAATTTTGGTCAGCGGTTTACAAATGGTTCTACTCATGATTGGTTGATCCTTCTTAGACATACAAGGACTCAAATTTTAACTTTTTATATGTAGAATTCTACACGATGGTTTTTAAAATTAAAAATAAAAAATGGCGATTATTTTTGGAACAAACTTCAATTACCAAAGCACAAAAGGTTAAAAATTTTTTCTGTTTCTATGGATTAAGATTTTTGGAGTTGCTAAATACGAATTCACAGTAGTGGCCAAATTTTTGGTCAATTTCTAAATTATATTTTTTGCACAAGGTTTAAAAAACGGGAGATTTTGGGTCGTTTATCATGAATTTTTAGTTATCGGAGTGAGATTCGAGTATTGAATCCAATATGACGAGTGGAATATGATCAATACGTCTCTAAAATCTTCAAATTGTAATATTTTTGGATGTCAATGAGTAGATACTGGTTTTTTGGATTTTTAATTATGCGAATTACTATAGTTATTTTTCAAAATTTAAGATGCATCTCATCATTCTGTGTTAAGTTGCAGTTATCAAAGAATTATTAGTTTACGAGATATTTTATCACAATTAAACATTAACTTGGTTTATTTCGAACAATTAAAATTGTTCTATAAATTACATACAGTTTATTAACTTACTCTAATACAAATGACTTGCTTAGTCTTCATTAGTGTTAAACTATAAATTATAATTCTTTAATCCCCCTTTTTAATAATAACGCACATGATACGAAATGAATCGCTATTATATTGGGTGGATCCATATATTCGTTCGGTTTTTGAAGGTAAAATGAAACAAGTTTTTTTCATACAAAGAATGAATTTTAATCAATGATATGATTCTCCGTTTTTGCACTACTAACAAAAACCGAACGAATATATGGATCCACCCAATATTTACATATTTTTAGTGATAATTGTTTGTAACACTTTACGTAGTTCATCTGTTCTATATAGGGAATGATGACTAATTGGGAGAATAAATTTAGGCATAGATGTTAAAAATATAAAGTTACAATCTACAGAGTTATGTGAGTGTATAATGAAAACAAATATTTTCAAAAATATTTTATAGTATAAAAACAGGGATCGCGATCTTCTTTCGATCACTTCCAACGATTAGAACCAAGAACATTTGTGAATGATGGTTACGGGAAATCATTGAAAGAAAGTTCGCGATCATCCTCTCGTACGATGCGCTATCGTACGAGAAAACAATATTTCATAACAGATAAGACGAACGATGCTGCAATGATGCTATCCGCAATTCACAGAGAACCTGACATTTTCGCGCGTGGTAATTGCTTTTTTTCTCTTGTGCTCCTTCTTTCCTTTACCGGCGCTTTCGACGTATCGTGGGAAAAATATATCGATCATAGCTGACGCGGATGCAATCGTGCGTGTCTACAACACTGAATGGTAACACGACCATCGCTTCTCGGAAATATTGCTGCCAGCTCAAAGAAATTTATTATATATTTATCCTTCTCTTGAATCAATACGAAAAATTTAATTTTGCACGAGGCCGAATCATCTCGTAAAAAGATTTGTAATTTTTGTAAATTATTCAGTTTATCGCAGAAATAAATGGACTGTTTAGATAAAATTCGGACAGTGAGTTTGGACCGAATTTTATATCTGAAGATTAATTTCGATTGTATTTTTTCTGTAAGATTTCGTACGTTACACCGCAAGTCTCGGATGAAAAAAAACTTAATGCACTTAAAATTAGTCGCACGTGGAAAGAAGAAAGTTTCGTATAATGTTTATGTGTTCTTTCGAGAAAAGTTTATGCCATACGTAATCATTTTTCTCGGGAAAATGATGCTCAGCTCTCGTTGCATCTCGCGACAATAGAACAGTTATGCGTCCTTGATTTTCGAGATTATTAACTTTGGAGAAGTCGTTGCAAAAATATTTTTACGCTCATTAAGTAGCTACAAAATGAAAAAAAAAACGACGACCGTACTTTCTATTTTAATTTTATTTCGTGCGTGCAATATCACGCATACCGTAATCTATTTTTCATAGACTTTCCATTATTTTGAAACGAAACATGTCTCGCGTAGGATTTACTTTTCAGATGCATTGAAATGGGAATCTCCTGTAAATATTTCTAACATGTTTATATTGTATGGAGAAGTGCCTTATCCAAAAGCGCACGTCGTTTGTGGCAAGCATGCATTCATACTAGGAAGGAAGTTTATATTATATAGCATCTAATATGTCCCGAGAATATTGATTCATGAAAAATAAATTTAGTTATTACAGTGAATAGTGCGACGTGCAGTGATGAATTTAAAAAAGGCTGTATGTGTGTATTTTTTGGTCAAAAATAAAGAAAAGAGTTTATATAAAATGTATATGAATATTTCGATAAGATTTCTTTATTAAAATTATTAGAAGATCGTAGTTCTAAATCGGAAAGAAAATAGAGAT